AAACCCCAGCGACCCGCCGAGCGCGTCGAAGCTGCCCGCTCAGTATCAGACTTGTTCACTGCTGACAGAGTCAAGACTGTAACAGCACATCACTCATTCCTGCAAAATAATGTAAAGAAACTTAAAGCTGCATCATTGGATTAAATGTTCGTCGGTCAGGTTTTGTCTTCTGCTGCTTTCTGGTTTTTAGCTGTGAAAAAAGTTTTAAATTCAAACCTCAAAAGCTGTTAAAAATATTTGTGTTGCTGACCAGCAGAAGTGTTTTGTATGCTTTGAGAAAATAAAGGTGAGACTGTTGTGAAGGTAAACATGAGATATCACTGATACCTTTTTGAACCTGTAGGGTCTACCTTACAATATAAAGCGCCTTGAGGTCACTGTTGTTATGATTTGGCGCTGTTTAAATAAAATTTAATTGAACCACAGAGGACATAAAAAGACCCCTACTTGAATCAGAATCTCTCGCTGTGGGACTATTCATGTCCCACTATGGACGTGCCACTCAGCTTCACCATTGAACAGCTGATTTATTTCCAGTAGAATCTGAATGTGAGTATTTTTACCCACTAAAGAAAAGCTGAGACGCTCGGCCTCGACCGTGTCTCTGGATAACGAGTTTTATTTCATTACAAACCGTGTTTACATCGTGGAACATCCAGTGAAACAAACTTCTCTGTAACAGAACCGCTACCAAAGCTTCAGTAGAAATTTCCAAAGTAATAATACACAAATAAGTGTAATAAATACAACAACAAGGACAGAACCACAGTCAGAATATAGAGAAGAAAGGAAGTGAACAGTTTATGGGTCGACCCTGCTGTCCCCGCCAAACCTGAATGTTTCATAAGAGTCGACGTGAAAAGCTGCTGACAAACACTGGCGTTCGTTTCCTGCTGAATGGTCCAGCAGGGGGCAGCAACACTACTACCACGACCAAGGTCACCCTTTGGCCTCGGCTGTATTTTCCATCACGTTCCAAGAAAATGTTCCTTGAAAGCTGCAGGACATTTCCAAGAAAGCCAAACGGCCTGCTGTCAACTGTAGGAGAAAAGCAGCTTCTCAGTGGGTGAAAAAAAACCTGGTTCATTCTGTTTCTTTTACACATCAGCTGTTTGTTTCCAGTAGAAACGCCTTCTGCCAAGTGTGACACTTTTATTATGCAGTGAGAAAACTGACAGCAGCTCCCATCTCACGTCTACAACATCTACGTACTGCAGAGATCTCAGCCAATGCTGAAACAAGGCTGAGCTGTACTATCACGTAATACCACTTTGATCCACTAGATGGAGCCGTGAATCAGCATTAGGGTGGCTGTAGCTCAGGTGGCAGAGCAGGTCAGCCACTAATCAGAAGGTCCGTGGTTCGATCCCAG